CAGAAAGGTATTTTGGAAGTGGGAGGAGATAAAAAGGGAGATGCACAGGTGGGGCACAGATTGGAAAGAGGCTGTTGTTTCAGGATAAACACAGAGAGAGTAGAGCTGCTGCTGCTGGCTGCCATTCAGGGACAGGTTGGACTGGTTTCTCCCTCCACAATACTCCAGTTTCCCTCATTCACACAGCGAGGAACAAGTGACCCAGTTTAGGAGGCGGTGGAAAGAGTGAAAAAAAAGGCTTCTTCAGTACATTTCAACCCAGACAGGATTTTAAACATGCCGGAGGAAGCAGAGTTTTATGGAAAACATGGTAACTTGTCTCTTTCTTACTTTCTTATCATTCTGTCTTCACTCTGTATCAAGTGAAGTGATTGAAGGATTATCTGTTAAGGTTTTCTCTTAAAACAAATGTCTTTAAGTTGTGTTGAGTGAAACTGCAGCGGTAGTATCAGCATGTAAACATTGCGGGGAAGGACAGGGTGTGTGTATGGGTGTTACTGTGGAACCTTCAGCTGATTATACAGGTGTGTGTGAAGGCAGGGAGCTTTTGATATATCAGTTGTGCAAATATAACTATGCAAAGTGTGGATTTTAAATTTGACACACTTCTTTCTTTCAATAATGTCCTATACAGCTACATAAGGAAGTTGGCAAGGCCTCCCTTTTCTAAATCCAACTTCTTTACATGGATTAATGGAAATACCTCAAGTCAAAACGGTTTAACTCGTGTCTGAACATCTTTCAGACAATATATATTGCATTGTAGTGTGGCAATACTGCTCTCACACCATGCCCATGAAGGCAGCTCTGACGCTCCCTCTGACAGGAAGTTGTGACTTCTCTAAGAGCTCATGTGGTAAATGATTTCTGCAGCATTATCCACCCGACCACATTCATTATTTAGATGCAAAGAGGCCAAAGAAGAAAAATCATACCCAATGTCTAGACTCAAGATCTGATGTGTTAAAATATACATCCGTTGGTAGTAAGGTGGAGAGATTGAAAGCCCTAACAATGTGAAAAAAATTGATTGTAACCATTATGTTTGTGTTTGTGATCTTTTTTATTCATTGCATTTTGTTTACTGTTAAGTAATGTTGCTTTTACTGAAGTGGAGCTAATGTTCCCTGAGGTATTTCTTTCAGAACCGCACGCTGAATTTGCTTAGATAATAGATGCTCCTGACACGCTGACCTCAGATAACACACTGCGAACTTAACTAAAGGCCTGAGCCTGCAATACAGTGGTGGGAGGGATGACATATCTTTTTTAAGCTAACCTGGAAGTTAGCACCACAATTGCTACCGCCGCAAAAAGCAAATGGGATTTTTCCATTTTTAACTATTGCAGAAAATAGCAGGATAACCTTATTAATGCCAAAGGTAATCTCTAGGAGAAAAAAGCAACGTTAGGCTTGAAAGGAACTACAGCACGGTCACATGACTTCACGTCACCACCGCTAAGCTAAATGTGGCTAATGTTGGGCTATAAAGGAACTACAGCACGGTCACATGACTTCACGTCACCACCGCTAAGCTAAAGGTGGCTAATGTTGGGCTATAAAGGAACTACAGCACGGTCACATGACTTCACGTCACCACCGCTAAGCTAAAGGTGGCTAATGTTGGGCTATAAAGGAACTACAGCACGGTCACATGACTTCACGTCACCACCGTTAAGCTAAAGGTGGCACGATCCGATGTTTAAATTATTCATCACTTTAAATGCTGTGACTGTTAGGAATTGTATCTCCTTTCCTAAAAGATGGTCTGGTGTTTCCTAAAGGAGATAACAAAGGAAGCATTGAAGCTCCTTTCCTATCATCTACAGCTCTTATCATCTCTGCAGCTCAGCGACGTCTGGGTCGATTGTCTCCGTTAGAAACCGTTTGTACATGTGTCAAACGAGATATCTATCAACAGTGACATAAGCATTGAAAGCTGCTCCACACTGACTTCTATGGACCTTATTTCCAATGGTACATTAGATCTATCTGTATCTAACACGCAGTACCGTTTTTGTTGTCAACAGTGAGATGTGTTTGTTGGTTTTCTGGTGAAGAATCCTCAGAAATCATGAATGGATTTTGGAGACATGTGGAGATGGGATCAGTCTAAACGCTGGATGCTTGCTTGGGGTTTTGGTTTGGATCTGTGTGTGGCATCACATCCATGAAACAGATTTATATCCATGGTACGTCTCTTAATGAGGACGCCTGATATCTGAGCTGCTGAAAATCACTTTTGGTGCAGAGGCTGCCGATGTGGATATGTGTTTAAGAGCCAGGTGTATGGATGAACAGCCTCCCTTTTCTTACAGTCTTTTTCATACATTTTATTCATTAATTATAAATATATTGTTGGTAAAAAGCAACAGGCGAAAGAACATAAGGACAAGTAGACATTGTTATACTGCACGAAACGCAGTGAGTTAAAGGGAGGTTGGATCCATCTGATCACATGACTCTTACACTGCAAACAACATTTTGGAATTGGTTCCAACTCTGGCATGATTAATCCTACAAGTAAAAATGTGGACATGTTTAATCTTCTTACTTCTACGGTTTATAAATATTTGTATAAATATTTGTTTGCCACTTTAAATAACATGTTGTGTTTAGCAGGTTCAAATGCACTTTTTTAGATGTTTTGAAGAAAGCAGGGTCAAGCAAAAATCAGCTGTTTTGTTGCTCAATGGATGAAGTTTACTGAGCATTTAATCTTTGAATGAAACAAAACAGTTGAAGGAGAAACAGGAAGTGTTGCTTTGTCTTACTGTGAAGACGCTCATAAATTAATCATCGAGACAGTCTGATGCACGATGCAGTTCCCATGGAGACTGGCTGCTGTGTGTGTGTGTGTGTGTGTGTGTGTGTGTGTGTGTGTGTGTGTGTGTGTGTGTGTGTGTGTGTGTGTGTGTGTGTGTGTGTGTGTGTGTGTGTGTGTGTGTGTGTGTGTGTGTGTGGTGGAATTTACCAATACCAACTAACAAGTAATGATGAAATGGTGAGGAAACCTTCCTGTTATACTGAAATGAAGATACTTAAAATAAGACAGTCTTTATTTTAAGTACAAAACTCAGAAGGTCTGCAGAGGGTCTTAGAGTCACATTTTCAAACAAAGAATAGACAAGGAGGTGTTAAGATACACAACATACCATAGATAGGATTGTTTTAAACATCATGTCAAAACCACTAACCTTACAATAATAAATAAATCCCACATTATTTACGACTCATGGTTAGCTCCGAAACTACTGAGGTAGGAATCTGAGGTATCTTGAGTCTTCTTTCCTGACACTTCATACTTCTTACAACATTCACATGGAGTTTCTGCCCTTTGTTAAATGTGCAGCTTTGTTTCGTCTGCGTTCATCTATCAATTGATAAATCAACGATATCTAAGAGATAAAGACAGACTGCAGAGACTTCCCTGACCTCATTTCCGTTTCCAAGGAAACGTCATTAACAGATTTGCATTTTATACATTTTTATTGAGCAAAGTCTCTCAAGAGATCCTTTTTAGGGGCAGTTTGATATGCATGATTTAAACTGGCTGTGTGTCTCTACTTTAAAGAGTCCTCTCCTGCTGATGTTCAGGTGTATATCAGTATGTAGTGTCTCTACTTTAAAGAGTCCTCTCCTGCTGATGTTCAGGTGTATATCAGTATGTAGTGTCTCTACTTTAAAGAGTCCTCTCCTGCTGATGTTCAGGTGTATATCAGTATGTAGTGTCTCTACTTTAAAGAGTCCTCTCCTGCTGATGTTCAGGTGTATATCAGTATGTAGTGTCTCTACTTTAAAGAGTCCTCTCCTGCTGATGTTCAGGTGTATATCAGTATGTAGTGTCTCTACTTTAAAGAGTCCTCTCCTGCTGATGTTCAGGTGTATATCAGTATGTAGTGTCTCTACTTTAAAGAGTCCTCTCCTGCTGATGTTCAGGTGTATATCAGTATGTAGTGTCTCTACTTTAAAGAGTCCTCTCCTGCTGATGTTCAGGTGTATATCAGTATGTAGTGTCTCTACTTTAAAGAGTCCTCTCCTGCTGATGTTCAGGTGTATATCAGTATGTAGTNGAAGGAGGAGCGGTTCAACTCCGAATCCCTCCCGGATGACTGAACTTCTCACCTTATCCCTAAGGGAGACGCCAGCCACCCTCCGGAGAAAACCCATCTCGGCCGCTTGTATCCGTTTATAGAAATATCTTTTTTTAATTTTTCAAATGTTTACTTTAATATATTTGTATTCTTTTAAATGTTTTCTCTTTATTGCACATGTTTACTTTAATTGTATTTAAATAAAAATGTTAAAAAAAATGTTTGCACATGTATATTTTCACCCCTGATGTATGGGCTCAGAACAGTCTCATAATACACACTTGCACACAGAAGGACTCACACTTATGTGTTTCAATGCAGGCAGGCTCCATGGACCCGTCAGCTCCGGACTGCGCAAAATGCATACATGAAGCGCTACGTCATGAACGCAAGAAATCATACCCCGGTGGGGGCGCGCTCATGTGATTGGCTTAGAATGGAGGAGAGATCTGATTGGCTATAGATAGAAAAAATGACAAGTACGAATCGGGTGACCGTCAGGGGAGTCTCAAAAAACCCACACACGAATGCACAGCGATCCGTGCACAGAAAGCGGGTTGTGTGGATCAAAAATACATATGTAAAACTTTTTTCTGTATTTGGATTTTATTTACATGTAATGTGAAACGGAACACATTTGTGTGTGCGTTGAAAAACACAAGTGTGGATCCTTCTGTGTTCATGTGTGAATTACGAGACTGCTCTGAGCCCATAACTATGTTTATTTGACTTCTTCATCTTTTTTTTTTTATTGTATTTACTTTTTTCATTTTAAAAACAGGCTCTTGACTGACAGTTCCCGTTTCTAAAGTATGTTTCAGCACTATGAAGTTCCCCTGCAGGGTTGCAGGTTGGGACAGGCTCGTTGCAGCTGTTTGAGACTGATAATGATGGATATTGATAACTCACTTGACTCCATCCACCAGGTCCTTGGCGTCTCTCATGGTCCCGCTGCCGTCGTCAAAGTGAGAGTTGTTTCCCACGGTGATCAAACCTCCTTTCAGGCCCAGAGCGGGGAAACACCTCCGAGTGACTGAGGGGAAGCAAAGGAAGATGTAAGAATACATTTCAGATCTCGACTGACTCTCTGGAAATATACTACATGCAACATACTGTAGAAAATACTGTGGAATTGATCATTATATTTAATTAATACCAATACACCACTGTATATATTATAAGAAGCATGTTATGCATTGTGCCCATTTTTACTTTAACTACCTATGTTTGTATATAAATATTTAGATTTTATGTTTTTGTTTGACATTTTAACTCCAACTTTCTATGTTTATTTGAATATTGTAATTCAATGTTTTTTAAAATCAGACATTTTAATAACATTTATTTTGTTTGTATAAATATCCTTATATTTTATTTGGAAATAGCTTGTTTGCCCATTCGTACTCTAACTTCATGTGTTCAAATAAAAAAATGTATTCCAACTGTCACAAAACAGCATTTTATAAATAAAAATAAATAAAGAATTCTGATTAATACAAATAATATAAAATATAATATTTCCACTCACAGGGCTTGCTGGGGGTCAGCATGGCCGGACAGAGGCCTTGCTTCAGGATTTCTGGGATTCCCTGAAACATTTAAAGCAGATGAGAAGGGGTGTGTGTGTGTGTGTGTGTGTGTGTGTGTGTGTGTGTGTGTGTGTGTGTGTGTGTGTGTGTGTGTGTGTGTGTGTGTGTATCAGACAATAACAGGTTTGATGTCTTTGTACCCACCATGTTGTTGGTCACGCCCTCCTTGCAGAACGTCTTGTAGTAGTCGAAGTCCTTCGTGTTGGTGTAGGCTTTGACTAACGTCAGGAACTTATCAGGACATGTCTCCACACACATCTGAGGAGGACAGTCACAACAGGAGGTCAGGTTAAGGATATGTGTTAATAAATTAATTAATTTAAAAAAGCAGCACAGCAGGAGATTTAAGTCCGATATAAACCAATACAAAAATTCCTCATTCTGACTTTTTGCACCATCATAAAACCTTCTTAAACTATGTGAAATAGAAAGAACATCCTTAGCAAGAGTTCTACACCATTTTACATGTAGTAATATACATTATTTTACGTATTTATGATGTTATATACTGTAGTACAATTTTACTTTTTTTAAATAAATACAATTATATATATATATTTTTTTGAATTGTACCTTTTTAAAACAAATTGCTGATTTAACATATTTGTATTCTATTAGATTTGTTGGATATTTTTTACTTACGCTAATAATGCTTGTATTAATATTTCCATTATATTTTATTAATCATTTTAGTGCACATTATTTACTTTAACTTATGTTTTGCAAAATGAATACTATATATTTTTTATTGTGCATTTTTTGTGCACTTGCGTTAATCATTTGTATATAAATGTTTTATCATATTATATTTATATTTTTACTTGAGTTTCTTTTTTTACAGATTGTATTCTGTTGAATGTATGTTTTCCATTGCGGACTCCTTTTAACTTCTTATATCATTATCTTGAATTGTACATTTTTACTTTAAAGGTCCCCTATTAAACTGTTTTTCCTCAATATATTATAGCTCTCAGATATATACAGAGCCTGTCTCTGATTGGCTGAAACACCAAACAGATCATTGCAGCATCACCCATAATCCCCTCTGTTCTCACCTGGGTGGTGGGGCACTGGAACTCCAGCAGCACCATGGGGCTCGCACACTTCATGATGTTGAAGTAGAACAGCATGCCCTTTTTCCTGTTAAAAAACACGTATACGTTTATAAATGATCAGAGGAAAAAAGGGCTTAAGAGGCTGACTAGCACATTCCTGTACATCAGGGGTGTCAAATTCAATTTCATCGCGGGCCAAATCAACATTATGTCGCACTCAAAGGGCCGGTTGTAACTATATAAATATACATATATAATATATATATATAAATAATGTATTATATTACATTATTGCCACTGCATTGGATTATTATCAGATAGGATAATAACTTAGTAATTAACTACGTCTGAAAGCAGAAGCCCAGGGCAAATAATTATCTTCAGTGCACATGTCACAAAACGAGATGCATTGTGGGACATGTAGTTTATGGGCAACCTGCTTCTGTAAAGTGTAATTTAACCGTATAATAAACATATTATATTCTTTGCAAGCTCTTGCGGGCCACATGAAATGAAGTCGCGGGCCGGATTTGGTCCCCGGGCCTTGAGTTTGACACCCCTGCTGTACATCGTGTGTGATTCATGTTTTTGACCTTCATCAAAAGTACCGTAAACCAGGAAATCATTATTTTCTCATGTTGTGCTCCGGAGAGTACACTTGTTTGTGTCTTTATAGTAAGAAGCATTGATAGTTATATCTGGAGACCTTCTTGCGAGGTGCGATATATACACTTGTGTTCAATTTAAATGTTTCCTTGCAATTTGTATACATTACAGCTTACTAAAAATACTTTTAACATGGTTTAAGCATTTGCGATTTGTATTCACTTAATTGTTTTGTAATCAATGTGTGCTTGCCTTTCTATAATAAGCAAGTCGACTCTCTACCTAAACATGCACTGTGCCTTTGAAACCCTCCAGGGGGTCCGGTGCCTTGCTCTAATGCACCACGGCAGTAACTGAGACCTCTTAAAGTACCAGTCCACATTCCATATTAAGGTCTGTTCGGGGAATTGAACCTGCAACCTTACAGTTCCCAGGCCAAGTGCCTACAGACTATGCCTTTGTTGCTGTAACGCCGTTAATTTGCCCACTGTGGAACGAGTAAAGGGTTTCTGATTCTGATAGTATCACACCAACATCCATACTAAATTACATACAGGGGCATAAAGAGGAAGGGGGTCTATGTAACCCGACACACCAGATTATTTGTTACACCATCAGATAATCCCTCTTTGAATTCCTTTTCAAAGAGGGCAGTACTTTCCCGTGCTCTCGCTCTGAACACACCCATCTTTGAGCTGAACTGTCATATAGTGTTTGTGACTACTTTCTGTTGTGACACTATAGCGGTAACTAAATCCATCCAACAAACACAAACACTTGGCAAAGAACCCAAAACCATGTCTGTCTCCAGGGGCACATATTGCCGTGATGACACACAAGGTGAAAACAACACCAACCACACACACACACTGTCTCAGAAGGTAATTATAATCTATATTTGGAAAGCGACTCACTCCAGTGGGGTGCCCGCCTGCCCGCAGAACTGCCCTCGACTGTCAGTGGGGTAAATCACCTTCCTGGGGTCACCCTGGGACCAGGCTGGAGGCACAAACAAAGAAGGTTAGATTGCATTTAAACAAAGGTTTTTGATGGTTTTTTTTCAACTTGCAGGGTCGTTTCCTTACCCAGAATTCCCACTGCAAAGTAACCCAGTAGGGCAATAATGAAGATAATGCAGCACACAATGTCTGTGCAGCTCCTGGGAGGAGAGAGCAGAGTTTAAAAGGGTTCAAATAAACTCTTTACACACAGAGAAAACCAGAAGTCACATATCTCTAACTTACCTGTTCTGGATGGGGCCCTTGAACGAGGAGTCATACTTCCTTGGCTCGCCTAAACAGAAGAAGAAAAAGAAGCAGATGTTAGAGACTTTCTGTTGGTCGACCAAGAAGTTAGCGTCGCAAGGGTTCTCTTCACAAAAAGCCAATGGGATTTTTTCCTTTGGACTTAAGCAGCAAATAAGATCTGTGTGACACTCACGTTTATGATCCTACACATTTTGTGTAGTAGGATAATCTCCACTTTATGATTTGAGGTAAAAAGCTATCGTCAAGGTCACATGACTTCATGGCACCACCGCTAAGCTAAAGGTGGCTAATGTTGGGCGTGATGATGTTTAGTCGTCTCATTTAGACACTTGTTAGCAACCGCTGTTTTTAAATTGGGATATTTACTGACGTAGTTGATGTCGTTAACTTGTGTTAACCACAGACCTTAATTCAGGCTTCTAACCCAAAAAAAGACATTGACTTTGAACCAAAAGCACCAGAAATGGTACATTGGTAACTCATTTCCAGGTTTTAGGACTCATTCCTACACCACTCTAGTGAGGGCATGGCTTAGTGAGATATCTACAACCCTAAGTGCAATGTAATATGTTAAACAGGGATGTTATGAAAAGGTTGAGAAACAGTAAGCCCCCCCCCCTCTCTTCCTCCCTGTCTTCTGTCAGATTCTTTTCCCTGAAAGCAGACACGCCTTGCAACACAACAAATTCCTCCCTGGTGACTAAGCAGCAGAAAACCAATGAGGAGGAAGAGAACAACACAACTGGTGCGTCCACTAGAGGGGGCCTGAATCATTACTGTAGATCAATACCATGACAAGGCAATAATGTCATGTAATTCCAACAACAAGACATTTAAAACAATCCACACCTTTTTCTGAAGGGTACATTTAAAGAAAGTCCATTCATTCAATAAATCAGAATAAGATGGTATCACTTGGTTTCCAGAAAAGGAATTGTGTTGGACTACTGTTAAGCAGGTTATTATTAGATTAGATGTACATTATTTTTCCAAAATGGGAGATGTGGAATATGGAGAAAGTCTTGGTGGATATTTGCACTCTTAATTTGGGTTGGGATAATAAGACTTCCTGCAAATGGACAGCCCGATGCAGAGCAGAATATATTCATTTAATAGTCCCAGATGCATGAAATTGAAACATTAATATAATATTTCACTATCAGGACAGCCATGCCTGGATTTTATTTGAGTTTCTGGGAGAAAGGAAGAGGCATTTTGTTGGGGGTTTTCTTGGATTAAAGAGTGGTGCAGGAATGAGTCCTAAACCTGGTAATGAGTCAGCACTTTTGTTTCCCTTGTCTTGATTTTAAGGTTTTTTTTTTTAACATGTTGTTTAAATGCCTAAAATAGGGTCAGAATTGGAGGACAATTTAGACACCAACATTTTTGAAAAATGAACCTTTTATTTTATAATGTTTTTTTATGTATTTAGGAAAAACAGATAATAAACCATCAAAAAAAGTGATTTGCCCAGCTTGGCATCAAATGTATATTTTCCAATGAAGAATTACCCCTGTTACTCTAATTATAGTAACAGGGTTGAAAGTAACAGGGTTGAAAATCAATGCTAATTTGAGCCTTTAACCTCAGGAATTATTGCTAGATGTAGCATGTAATGCTACTTTCCAAGGCAATGACAAACTTGGATATCTAATGCAAGAAAGATAACTTTGAAATTAATATGCTTTATTCTGGTAATATCAGTAACAGGGTTGAGTGGGTCAGAGTGCCACACTCTTTTACGACTGAAAAGATTGTAAAAATATGAAAAATAAAAGAGAGGACTTAGTTTTGGTCTACCCATGGCACTAGCAGATGGCTTGCTGATGTCACTTCTACTGTGTCATCTGATTTACAGTTTTTTCACTTCCTGTGCCAATCTAAAAAGGTTTGGGTAACAGGTTTGAACGCATGTTGAGGGACACACCTTCTGTGCAAAATTACTGTTATTTAAAATATGTTTATGATTTAACAAATAGATTTTACCATTACAAGAGACATATATCAATAGAATAATACCAAAAAAATGTAATAAAATCCCTATTTTAAATGTTATATTTGACATGCAAGTTGGTCACCAAGATTTTTTATATGGAGGACATGAAATGTCCTCCAATTCTGGAATGACCCACATAACTCCACAAATCCTGCATTAGATAGTATTATGATTTACTGATTTACTGATAACTTACCATTGCTGTTCTTATGGCGTGATAACGCTCATCATCCTCAGCCGCCCTACGGTCAAATAAGGCCAGAGAGCATGCCATTCCGTCCTCCAATCCTTTTGATTATCGCTTTCTTACCGTCTTCGCTTCCGAGCGCGCGTTGCTATTTCATTTGAGTTTGTATTAAGATCTGCTTTTTGTTCTTAAATAACTCAGTTACAACCGCGTATAACACTGTATAACACAGCACGCAGAAACCACCAACATCAGCAGTCCAACTCCATCATGTCTGAGGTCGGAAGTTTGTGTTGTTCTTTCTTATCTTGGGTTTCTTCTCCTCTCGGATTTTTTGGCCGATTGCAACTTTAAAGGTTCATACCGGCCACCTACCTTGTACTCCGCCGTGAAGTTTGTTTGTAAGCCTGACAGTTAAACCGCAAAGCAGAAGAAGGAAGATGGACGTTAGCGGCTTCATTTGCCTAAATCCACCCCAGGACTTATTCCGGTGTGAATCGCGAATCTGTTACTTAGTTCATGAGAACTAAAGTTCCTCAATGAAACTAGTTCCATGGTGGTGGGGAAAAAGTACTGCCGTGTGAATGCGGCCTATACGATGAGGTCCAGTGTAAGGTGCCTATTCCTGTGTTGAGACCGTCAACCTGTTAATCGTCCCCCGAAGCGAATTCCCGGATCGCGTGTTTGGTATTGCTATATTCTAACGTTTGCTGTATTTTTGTCTACGATCCTCCTTCACTTTCTATGTACCACGCTCCTTTTCTCTGTCGTTTCCATTCCAATTCCAAATGGTTTCCATTCGTTACACACAGTACTTCTGGATCCAAATGAAAGAAGGGCGATAAGGCAATTGATATGTACCCCCATTTTCAGCCGCGATTCTGTATCTGTTCTAGAAAAAACGATGTGTTTTTCTAGGATTTCCAAGAAGCATATAGAACAAACACAATGGCACATTTATCAATGCTGAACCCAGTACCGCATCTTAGATGCTGCTTACGCAGCTGAGATAGAGATTACTTATTCTAATACTCAATTGATATGCACTCTGATGAAGCATGCATGAAGTACCCTGTTTGANGTATATCAGTATGTAGTGTCTCTACTTTAAAGAGTCCTCTCCTGCTGATGAGGAGAGGACTCTTTAAAGTAGAGACACTACATACTGATATACACCTGAACATCAGCAGGAGAGGACTCTTTAAAGTAGAGACACTACATACTGATATACACCTGAACATCAGCAGGAGAGGACTCTTTAAAGTAGAGACACTACATACTGATATACACCTGAACATCAGCAGGAGAGGACTCTTTAAAGTAGAGACACTACATACTGAATACAACCTGAACATCAGCAGGAGAGGACTCTTTAAAGTAGAGACACTACATACTGATATACACCTGAACATCAGCAGGAGAGGACTCTTTAAAGTAGAGACACTACATACTGATATCAAATATTTAAGCTTTTCAGAAACCACCAGTGTTGTCACGGTAAAAATTGGAAGAAAAGCTTGCGTTGTTTTTGGCCACATTTTCTATCTTAAATATCTTGGTTTCTTTTTTTTTAAGGTCACCATTGTTCTGTTATCTTGAAAAATACTCTTATAAACATCTTATAGATATGTATTTCTCTTGTATTTGCATTGCGTTGTCATTTCTGCCAGAAAAAAAGACACCATGTGGACAAAAGGCTTTATCTCTCAGGACCTTTTCCAGGTTTTCCCGAGGCTTGCCATCCATATCTGTGGTCCATGTGCCTGGAGGCCTCGATGGAGAACATGTTGGCCTGAAGCCTGAAACGGGGATCTATGAAACTACCTCCGCTCTTGCTGAGACGAGGCCAAGACTGTGTGGTGCTGGTGGGGGGGATCAGGCACCGAGGAGAGGAGGGGGAGGACAAACAGCCAGAGAAAATATATCTATTCTCTCTCTCTCTCTCCGTTAACAAAGCGATGAGAGGAAGCAGCTCCTGTGCCCCGAGGCAAGAGTATTTATGTTGAAAGGAAACACAGAAGCCTTTAAGTTACAGCGCCCGCATCTTCCACGTAGCTGAGCACCAAATCTGTCTGTGTGAAATGGTGTGTCGTCACGAAGAAAAACTCCAGAGGTGTTGTCCCCCTCAACCCCCTCAAATAAAACCCGTTCTCCTTATAAATGTCTTGGTGTACTTTTGATCTTCTTGTTGGGCAGAATACTAGTTTTACGTGTCTATAAATCCTATTCAAGCTGCTAAAGGTTGTTCTCAGGTGAAATAAATACCTCATATTAAGGAAAAGGTCTTTAAAATGACCATCAATTAAATTAAGTTTGGTTGGGCGTACTTACAAAACTAGCAACTAGAGATGTCCCGATCCGATCACGTGATCGGGGATCGGAGCCGATCACGTGATTTTCAAAAGATCGGAATCGGGAGAAAAAAATCGGGGATCGGGATTTTTTTTTTTTTTTTTTTATAAATACTTTTTTTTAATTTTGTATTCAATGTTACAAAACAAAAATGACCATGTTCAAGTCTTAAAGTCATCCTGAGGCCTTAGTTTTGGTTTCAAATTACAGAACATCATGTATGTGTTGCTTCTTTGGGGCTTGTTTTCATAGACCTGCTTATTTCTCTCAAATCTGGCAACAGAGTGGGCGCAGTGTCTAATTGTAGCAGTAAGCTAACGAGTACTGAAAGCTTTATTTTGTTTTGATCCAATGCTGCACAACTGAACTGATCCAATGCTGCTGTGAAAGAAAGAAGCTATATCCATGTTGGATAGAATATCCAATTTAAATAAAAAAATAACCTTAAGGGACAACTTGAATGCTTTTTTTCTTTTTTTTCTCTTAATGCATTGCATAAAGATCGGATCGGGAAAAATCGGTATCGGCAAATTGTCAAAATCAAATGATCGGAATCGGATCGGGAGCAAAAAAAGGTGATCGGGACATCCCTACTAGCAACTCTAGAGGAAAGATGCTGAGCGTGTTGGATCAATATCACTGAAGTTGAGTTTGTTGAAAGCATACGTTACCGAAGACGGTTAGTTTTCTGCTATTTTAAATACTTCCACACATTAAGTGATTTAAAATGAATGTGTAGAACAGATCTGTCTCTGTGGGAAAAGGTGGGCCGCCACAAAGACAAACTGGAGAGGTTTAGTTGAAGTCAAGCTTATTGGTTACTCAGTGTTTCTATTAAATGACTAATAGGTTTTGGAATAAACACGATATGCTTTCAACGGTTTGACAGTGAATATCCTGATTATGCAAATCTGCCTCCCCCCGAGGATGCGGAGAATAATAAAGAAATGACAAAGCTTTTCTCTGGTGTGGCTTTAACTGTGAGCTTTTCTCTGGTGTGGCTTTAACTGTGAGCTTTTCTCTCGACCTACATTATTGAGGAATTCTCCACATTATTGTCACAGTCTTGACAAAGAGCAAAATACAACTCACAGGATGCATGCACACATCATCCAGACCAACAAGTGTTGTTTGAGCCTGCCCCCCTCCACTCAAATATAACCATTATTAATGTTTCAGTTCATTAATGCAATTTTTTCTTTTTGCAGAATCCTGGTTACACATGACTAGAAATCTTATTGAAGCTACTAAAGGTTGTTTAAAGGTGGAATCAATAACACATATAAAAGGAAAAAGGTTTGGTTGAGCGTACATTTCATTAGGTTTGGTTGACCGTACGTACAAAACTAGCAACTGTAGTGTAAAGATGTTTGTTGTTTGGTTTTAAGCTTTAACTATTTCCACACATAAAGAGATTTTATATGAATAACTAACCAGTTTCTGCTTGTTAACGTCAAAATAAACAATGTTTAATCACATTTGAATGAACACAAAACACATTGTGATATAACTAACACTCTTTCACAATGAGATAAACTTCTTTAACCCTCCTGTTGTCTTCGGGTCAAATCTGACCGATTTACTACTTCCATGAATCATAACTTTTTTGGTTTACATTCGATTGCATTAAGGCTTTATGATATCCTTCACAGTAGACATTTGAACATATCACATTGCTTATCACTTGTGATCACTTTCATTGAAGTTTGGATGATTTAGTCAACTTTGTAACACCCATGGCACACACACACACACACACACACACA